CCCCTCGAATGCCTGGATTTACTTAGAGCTCTGGCAAGATGACACAATGTAGTTAGTTATAGTTTCAATAGATTTAAATTAATCTTGTCCTCAGAGTGTTAGATCTACTGCACACATTTAACGACTCTTGTAGCATAAGAATTTTCGTGCGCGTAGAACTAATGTGGTAAGAAACGGTATATAGATTCACGATTTTCAGAAAGATTTAAGATTTACAAGTTGAGCTACCTACATCTTGCCTTGTGACCCACATTGGCGGTTCTTATATATTGTTTAGTTTTAGATAGGGGTCTTACTTGAAAGTTTATTGTTATAAGAATTTTCATTGTTAAAAGTTGTAATCTTCTATAAGAGTTGTGATAGTTAAAATAATAGAAGGTAATATGGGCAATGTGAGCCGTCACATGATCTTAGGTGAACGAAATTAAAACAATACAAAGTATTTTAACTTCTACATTGAATGTGGTCTACAATTTTGTCAAAGCGTTCTTTTTCTTTTTTCCCCTCGAATGCCTGGATTCACTTCGAGCTCTGGCAAGACGACACAGTGTAGCTAGTTATGGTTTTAACAGATTTGAATTAATCTTGTCTTCAGAGTGTTAGATCTACTGCACACATTTAACGACTCTTGTAGCATAAGAATTTTCATTGTTAAAAAAGTATTTTAACTTCTACATTGAATGTGGTCTACAATTTTGTCAAAGCGTTCTCTTTCTTTTTTTCCCCTCGAACGCCTGGATTTACTTCAAGCTCTGGCAAGATGACACTGTGTAGCTAGATAGTTTTGATAGATTAAAATGAAATGGTTGTTAACGCAATGGTTTGCACGATTCGCTGATATCTTCCTCCCTCGTTTTCTAAACAGAGTTCATAGAGGTGGGCAAGCCGGCCCGAGCTTTGGACACGCTGCAGGAAGTCTTCCGCAATAAAAAATGGACGTACAACTGGTCGGAGTCCGTGCTGGAGCCCATAATGTTCAAGTACCTGGACCTCTGCGTGGAGCTGAAGAAGTCGCACATAGCGAAGGAGGGCCTGTTCCAGTACCGAAACATGTTCCAGTCCGTCAACGTCGGCAGTCTGGAGAATGTCATACGCGGCTACCTGAAGATGGCCGAGGAGAAGACGAACGCGGCGCGCAAGCAGAGCCAGCAGGCGGTGATCGACATCGACGACCTCGACAACCTCGCCACGCCCGAGAGCATCCTGCTGTCCGCGGTGAGCGGGGAGGACGCGCAGGACCGGAGCGACCGTACCATTCTGACGCCCTGGGTCAAGTTCCTGTGGGAATCGTACTGCCAATGCCTGGAGCTGCTCAGAACCAACGCGCACGTGGAGACCCTCTATCACGACATCGCGCGCATGGCCTTCCAGTTTTGCCTCGAGTACAATCGTAAGACTGAATTTCGTAAGCTGTGCGAGAAGCTGCGCAAGCACCTCGAGGAGATATGCAAGCTGCCGCCGCTCGTCTCGAACGTGTCCATGAACAAGGCGGAGACGCAGCAGTTGAATCTGGAGACCAGACTGAATCAGCTGGACTCGGCGATACAGATGGAGCTGTGGCAGGAGGCGTTCAAGTCCTCGGAGGACGTTCACGGTATGATGAATCTGTCCAAGAAGCTGCCGGTGCCGAAAACGATGGCCAACTACTACCAGAAGCTGGCGATGGTGTTCTGGAAGGCCGGCAATTATCTGTTTCACGCGGCCGCGCTGTTCAAGCTCTTGCAGCTGTCGCGCGAGATGAAGAAGAACATGTCGTCGGAGGAGCAGCAGCGAATGGCGAACCGGGTGCTGCTGGCGACGCTGTCGATACCGTTGCCGTCCGCGCATCCCGAGTTCGATCGCTTCATCGAGACCGACAAGAGCCCGCTGGAGAAGGCGCAGAAACTCGCGACCCTCCTCGGCCTCTCGCAGCCGCCCACGCGCGTCTCCCTCCTCAAGGACATCGTACGCTTGAACGTGGTCAGCCTCGCGTCGCCGCAGCTGCAGGAACTGTACTCGTGGCTGGAGGTGGAGTTCCATCCGCTGGAGCTCTGCAGCAGAGTCGACTCCGTCATTCAGACGTTGCAGGCGGACGAGAACAGCCCGCTGGCCCAGTACGTCCCGGCCTTGCAGGACGTCACCCTCGTGCGCCTCGTCCACCAGATCTCCCAGGTTTATCAGACCATACAGTTCTCCAGGCTGCTGGAGCTCGCCAAGTTCACCACCGACTTTCACCTCGAGCGCCTCCTGGTCGACTGCGTGCGCTACAACGACATGCAGATCAGAATAGACCACGGCAAGACGTGCGTCCACTTCGGGGTGGACCTCTCGGAGGCGCAGCGGGAGGACCACCCGGACGGGCCGGTGCTGCAGGCGATGCCCTCCGAGCAGATACGCTGCCAGCTGGTGAACATGGCGACCGTGCTGCACCGCTCCATCAACGTGATTAATCCCAACAAGAAGAAGCTCGAGCGCGAGAAGCTGCGCAACGCGATGGTCGCGCACTACCACGAGACCAAGATGAAGGAGCACCAGCGAATACTGGGCAGGCACAAGATCATCGAGGAGCGGAAGGAGTACATCGAGCACATCAACACGGTCCGCGAGGAGGAGGAGATGCGCCGGCAGGAGGAGCTCCAGCGGCAGCACATGCTGGCCGAGCAGAAGCGGCTGGAGCAGGAGCGGGAGGAGCGCGAGCGCAAGCGCCAGCAGAGCGAGATCCAGCAGATCAAGGACCGCCATCTCAAGGAGAAGATGCAGCAGATCTCGCAGACCAGCCACGGGCAGAAGGTGCTCAAGAAGCTGGACGAGGACGAGATCAAGAAGCTGGACGCGGAGCAGATCGCGGCGCGGGAGGCCGAGGAGCTGCAGAAGGAGCGCAGGGAGATGCAGCAGAAGCTCAAGTCCCAGGAGAAGAAGGTCGACTACCTCGAGCGCGCCAAGCGGCTCGAGGAGATCCCGCAGCTGGAGAAGGCCGTGCAGGACCGGATGCAGCAGGCGAAGCAGCTCTGGCGGCAGCAGGAGGACGAGCGGATCGCCGCCGCTGTCGAGGAGCGGTACGACGCTGTCGCGACCCAAGAGCGCCTGGCCCGCATGAAGGAGGACCACGACAGCTTCCTGGCCAAGATCTTGGCCGAGCGCCGGAGCATATACATGGAGAAGCTCAAGGAATTCGAGAAGCTGCTGAACGAGGAGCGCGCCAAGCGGATGCTGAAGCGCAAGATGGAGCGCAAGGCCGAGCGCAAGGCGAAATGGGAGAAGGAGCGCGCGGAGGCCGCGGAACGAAGGCGACTCGAGGAGTTGCGTATTAAACAGGAGGAGGAGAAGAAGCGTCTCGAGGAGGAGAGGGCCAAGCGGGAGGAGGAGGAGAGAGTCAGGCGGGCCGAGGAGGAGGCCAAAGAGGCCGAACGTTTGGCCAAGCTCAAGAAGCAGGCCGAGATCAGTAGAGCCAAGGAAGCGGAGATCGAGCGTAAATTGGAGGAGGAGCGGCAGAGGGACAAAGAACTCACTTCCACGTGGCGTCGCGCGGACAGAGAGGATCGCGACCGCGATCGCGATCGCGAGCGCGATCGTGACCGCGACCGCGACCGCGAGCGCGAGGGTCCGAAAGCTTGTGAGTACAACACACTTTTCGCAACTTCCCGCCGAGCGTTTTCCCACGCGAGTGTATCGATGAAATTTCACTTATCCCTCGTCGTTGCTAGCGCTGGAGTCCTGGCGGCGTAATCCTGACAAAGAGTCCGACGGGCTGAAAAACGACACGGATCGCTGGAGGAAACGCGACGACAAGATCGAGGACTCCGCGTGGAAGAAGAGGGAGCCGGAGCGTCGCGACGCGGACAAGTGGAGGAGAAACGACGACACGGACCGATGGAAGAAGGACGGGCTGGATAAATGGAGGAAAGATGATAACTTTGATAGGGACGATTTAAGAGATCGCGATAGGCTGGAGAACCGTAGCTTCGACAAACGAGATGATCGCGATCGCGACCGTGACCGCGATCGTGGAATAGATCGGGGAGTAAGTATACGTTCTTCTAATGCAATATGTATTACATATATTTTAAAGTGTTCCGCACGTTTGCCCCCTGCTCTCTTCGTTCACGTTTTATGTTTGTTTGTACTCATTTTCATCCTTTGTTTCGAGCACGTGTATTTTGCCGATATTTTTATTCAACCAATTGCAATTACAGGTACGCGAGATTCCACGTGATTCGTTGCGCGACGATCGAGATCGCGGCAGAATGTCCGATCGTCGTGGCGGCTATCGCGACCGCCGTGACGAGCCGCCGCGGAACACCAACCAGGACTGGCGGAAACGCGACCCGCCTCAAGATTCCCCGAGAGACCCACCACCCAAGTGAGTGAGTGTATTTAGAGTTTAGGATCGACTGGCGTGCAGGGTTGAATATATGTATCGTGAATATATGTATCGAATAAAGAATGTATGGTGCAAGTATAATTTATTCTCCGTCCTCAACTGTCTCACAATTGTAATTTGCTCTCGATTACACGTCCGCACGCGAGCACGTCTATCGGTCGAGTCCCCTAAAACGTTAGATCGTTTCCGCGGCTCAAAGTCACCGGGGTTTAAATCTCGCCAGTACCTCTGTTTTCGCACAGCTGTCTTTGTTTTTCTCACGTTTCGCATGTATGTGTATATATGATTTGTCTGTTCGCGCGTTATAGCCGTTGGATGTGACGATATACTCGCCACAAGAGAATTTAGCAATACAATGCGTGTACAATTTGTGTGTGTTTGTATAACTTGTCATGTTTAGTTAACATAGATTAGGATTTATCATTGACTACGGTCCGAGTATCGGCCATCCTTCGATTTTTATTCATTTTATCTGTAATAAATTTCTTTAATCCCAAACACCTTGTTTTGACTCTGAGCCCTTGAATAACATTTCTGTGGAATTCTCTCTCTCTCAAACTCTCGCATATAGAACTCTGAGATTTTATCAATTGTCTTGGTCTTTGTTACTTATGCAGTAGTGTGACAATTTAATAATAACGGTCGAACGTAAATTGGTGGAAGGACGGGTAGAGGAAAATAAAGAACCGGCTTCGACGTGGCGCTGTACAGATAAAGATAGTTGCGATTAAATAAAGGATAACAGTTGTAAAATTATATTACAAGCTTTGAGCGAGTTACATAAGCATTCGTCGTTTGCTCGAGTTTTAATTTAAACTTTCATTTTTTTGTGTATTTCAGACAAGATGAAGGTAAAGATGACAGACTTCCGCCTAAATCTGACGAGAGAAGGCGACCGTTAGAGGATGATGGCTGGTCGAAAGTCAGTCGGCGCTAACATCAAAGCCTCAGTTAATCGTGTAGCTTTATATAAGTTTATTATTCTCTAAGAACGATATAGATTATACATTAATAGACTTTTCATCTAATACGGAAGTCTGTCCATTTTTATTGTTTTTTTGCGCGAGGCTTTATTCTTCCAGACAAGAAAATGAGGGGGGGGGGAATAGCTTTAGTGAATAGTTGTACAGTGAGATTTGAAAAAAGTAGATATTTTGATTAGATATAATAGATTATATTCATTGCTAAAACAAGAAATGGCAAACTCACGTTTGAAATATCCGATCCAATAGATTCCCCAAGTTGTTTGAATATTTTCAATCGGTTTGCTATTGTTTTTTTTTTAACGTAATCGATAATCATTTTATTATCATAATCAAAATATCTTCTTTCGAAAGACTATATGATTAGAAAAAATATAGATACATCAATAAAATTCTCTTCTACTCTACCCATTCATTAGATTTTCTTTCACATTGTTCCATGTCTTGTCACATTTCCACGAGAGGAAAATGTATCATTTTCCACTGTACATTTTCTTCCCGTCACCCACAGCGAACGATTGTATATGCTACGCATGAAATCGACATGTGGAAGTTAGATTACGCGAACGAGGATTCTCGTCGTAATGGAGAAAATAAAGTATATACGATGATTGTAACATATTCTATAACCTGCTCGCTGTTTTATTATTACGCCCGCGACATCATTGTAATAAATAAACTCCCGAGGAGCAAACTTCTTATTGTATTTACATTTCACGTTCTCCACGTACGATTCGCTACGATCGCGGCATTAAATCGTACATTTTATATGGACATAACTGTTAAAAGTATTCAATGTCTCGAAGAAAAGGCACGTCACACTTGCATTTATAAAATATCCTCTTCAACGAGTTAAAGGTAGTAATAAAATATATATTATCGTTCTCCCTCAAGAGCCCAGTCTAGTCAAAACAAGCGCCTTTGTGTAAAAAGAAAGATGCTAAATAAAGATGTAAGAATGGATTTTAGCTATTTGCGAAATATATCGGGGGATAACTCGATAACAAAAGTGACAGAAATACATACTGTTTGAATTCGTAGCGCATAATTTACACACACACACGTCTGTATACGAATATTTATACACTACCAACAATAAAAATTTGTTAACCGAAGTCTGCAACTGTTATTGTCAGAAACTAGATCGCGGCCTTATTGACAAAAACGAATTTATCGTTTAAGCTACAATAAAGCGCTTTTCCATGCTCGATCTCGTCTTTTTTGTGTAAAGCGAACAGCGCACAACTTTCAATCATAATCGACATATTACACACGAAACGCTTGTTCTACGTAAATTCGTCAATTGTTGTCGAAGAATAACGAGTATTGCAAACTGACATAATATCAACAAAATTGTGTACATGGGTGATACACGTCTCAGCTCTTAATTCGTCGCATACAACAAATACTGTTCTTGATCGGCGCGTTTCAAACATGCTAAACGATTAAGTACGTTTATACTCGCGTTTTAATTCGGCGTCAAATTGCGCAATATCTGTTGCAAAACTGGAGTGTATCTGGGCAAGTGATCGCAAACGCCTGGCGGTTATTTAGGAACTGTGCGAGGCACAAATATACGAACGAAAATAGTATCGTTATTTAATCTCAACTAATTTTCGTCCCATTTTGATATAGCCACTGTCAATTTGATATTACGCACATTAACGTAATTCGATCGTAGTCTTCAATCAAATTTTAACACTATTGTAACGTTTAATATAACATTATCGCTGCGGCAGTTTTCTCTTCAAGTGCAGGTATCGGTTCCAGACGATCGTCCTTTTCTCTACCCGAGCCCCAGCCAACTAATGCTATACTAATGAGATGTACAACGCCGGCACTAACCACAAGCCTAAATGAACAAAAAAAGAATACACTATATATTCTAAATTTCAGAGTATTGAATATATAATTCAATAATTAACCCAAGGGTTAATACACGTGAAAAATATGCTACGCGAAAGCTGAATTTTAATGCTAAAAAGAAATTTCTCGTACAAGAAAATTTAAATATTTGCGGCAGTTGTAATTAAACATCAATTCAGCTACCTACAATCAACGACTTGCATAGTTAAATCATATTAATAATACGTAAGTTTTAAACGACTGGCCAAGTTTTTATTTAAAAAACACATTACAACGTTCGGTCTCGGATTTGACTTTTCTCAAGTAATCTGTTCATAAAATTATTAAAGATCTCATATCAATTGTTTGGTCATTCACTGTGACAGTAAGATACTAGTCGAAAATAATATTATTACACGCTTTGGTTGAAGAGTGCAAAGTCAATTAAGTTGCGTCGTTGATTGTATCAAATACGAATAAGTGTCACGAGCGTGTGTTGAACAAGAGATGAAATTGAACTGAGTTCTTGACTCTTTCTTAAATTATATTAATTTATCCCTGGCGGAAAAAATGTCTGTAAATAACTACAAAAGATTGACTTGAAATAGAAACTTGTAGAAATTTTTGTATCTTCGTTGAAACATTGATTTTTTCGTAAAAATATCTGCGAAATAGTACCACAAATTACAATGTTCTCAACTCAGGAAATTATTGCAAGTAGTATTTTGTAAAAATTAGTACAAAGCTTTACTAGTTTGACAAATGTGAGAAACAGCAAAATTAAGATTCTATTGCGGCCCCTGCCGGAAATAATTCTACAAAATTCTACAAAACTATAAAATGTAACCACCAGAATCTGAGAAATTCTACGTACATTTAAAAAGTGTTGTAAAAATCAACATGAAAATGCTGGAATTGGAGCACTTTTGTTAATTTTCGTAATATTCTACAAGTAAGCAGATGTTTTAAAGAATTAAAATATAGCCGCAATAAATAATTAGCCGCAATAGAATCTTAATTTTGCTGTTTCTCACATTTGTAATATTCTATTTTCGTAATATTCTACAAGTAAGCAGATGTTTTAATTCTTTAAAACATCTGCTTACTTGTAGAATATTACGAAAATTAACAAAAGTGCTCCAATTCCAGCATTTTCATGTTGATTTTTACAACACTTTTTAAATGTACGTAGAATTTCTCAGATTCTGGTGGTTACATTTTATAGTTTTGTAGAATTTTGTAGAATTATTTCCGGCAGGGGCCGCAATAGAATAAATAGGAGTATCGAAAACTCATCCGAGTGTCAGTAAATTCTTACAAAGTGGCAACTTTATCGTATGAGTGCAAACAGTGTATCCTTACCAAAATGAATAACCAAGCTCAGCGGAACCCTCGCTGGTCCACATATTATCGATGTCCTCCTTCGGAAGCACATTGATGTACAGTCTTGTGTAATATTGCGCTAACCAAGTACAAGTGCTTGCTAAGCACATCAACACTAAAAACAAGTCACGAGTAAGAGTCCAGGCTACATGGAGTTATTTATCAGCTTAAAATATTAATTACAGCTACATTCTTTAATGATAGTACATTTTTATTTTTGAAACTTTATTAAAATCAGCATTACGAATCTAAAGACAATTATTTAACGCCACGAATAAAGACGAGTGCGGTGAGATTCCACATCTATAAAATCCACAATCCATAAAATATATTGAAAAAGTTACACCAAGACCTCTGTTCTGATAATGTTTCAAAGCAACATCTTTTATAATTTTAGTAAAATGTTGAAGAGATGCTTACGTGTTAACATATTTATAAAATACACGCCAGGAATGGATAGAATCTTCGATCTCGGCGAGGTGGCTGTATTTAAAACTGCCAAGAGAGCAGCGAGCGCAGCCGCTACCAGAGCAGCCGAGGTTGTTGTTAGGGTAGCGATCCAAAGGGCCCAAGACATCACCGTTGGATCCTGCCGGATCATTTGAGGGACTAAAACATTGTTAATTAAGATTATTATCGGAACGATACGCGGCGAGAATTTCCTCTTAAAATTCACCCTGGAAATCATGTAATTTCCAAGAACTTTACGAGAGCTCTTTGAATTTGTGCCATACATTTAATTATAATGAGCCTATATACATATAATTAATGTTATCGAATGGCATAATATGAAAATTAAATCTTGATATCGCAATCTCTATTAATTCTTTAAATATCGTAATTACACTCTCTTTGCGATCGTTACATATTTTAATATTATTCTGTCACGTTTCTACGACTTTTGTACATTTTACTAGTAAAATCTAAGATAAAATTTCAGAAAACTCTCGCAAAGTTCTTCAAAATGCCATGTTGTTCCACGATTACTTAATCTTCAATCATCATTTGAATTTCAAAAGAAAGTTCTCTCCGTGTAAGAACGAAAGCGATTTCAATTATATTCAGCTCGCGTCTAACATGTAGAATGTAATGAGCCTATATACATATAATTAATATTATCGAACGCTATGATATCACAATCTCTATTAATTCTTTAAATACCGTAATTATACACTCTCTTTGCAATCATTACATATTTTAATATTATTCTGTCGCATTTTTTACTAGTAAACTGTATGATAAAATTTCAGAAAACTCTCTCAAACCGTGTAAAACGCCATGTTGTTCCACGATTACCTAATTTTCAATCGTCATTTAAATTTCAAAAGAAAGTTCCCTCCGTGTAACAACGAACGCGACTTCGATGATAATCAGCTCGCGTTTAACATGTAAAATGTAACGAGCTATATACATATAATTAATGTTATCGAATGCCACGATACCACAATCCCTATTAATTCTTTAAATACCGTAATTATGCACTCTCTTTGCAATCATTACGTATTTTAATATTATTCTGTCGAATTTCTACGATTTCCGTAACCGTATGTTATCGATAGTCGCGTAGCTGTTGAACTGAATTTAAATTACTCCTCGAAATGCGACGGGGACGAGGACTTCGATTATGCGAGCGTTGCATAATGTCCGAAAATTGAAGCGACGCCAGCTCGCGAGCGATTAACTTTACATATGAAAATATATCTTCAGTAACGTCTCGCTCGGAAAATATCCACAATGCTCCGCTACTTCTGACGTCCTTCCGCTGATGCGGATGTATTGCACGCCGCGGAAACTAAAAGCCGCCGCTATCGTATTTTATATTCGGGCGTGATGTACGCTCGAGAGTGAAAGAACGGGTATAAGTAGGAATATTTCGCGCATTACGCTTCCAGGATACGACCAAGTTTCCGCGAGACATTTCAACTTACGACGGCGTGAATAACGGATCATTGCATTCGCCGGAGGCGGCCGCCAAGTTCCGCGAGTATCGCCCCGGCTCGAAAATGTATATACCGCTAAAGTACTCAAAGGCGTATCTGCCGGCGGTCGCGATATTCCTATATTCGTTTCAATCCAATATAGTGCGTATTTCTCATTTTTATTCCCCGTCTTTACGTCGTCTCTCTGACCAAAATTAAAAATCCAACGCGCACAAGCCCGGCATCGGTGGAGAATTTTCGCTTGAAATTTATCCTGAAAATCATCGCGAGACAACACGAACAACTTTATGAGAGTTTCTTGAAATTTTACCATACGTTTTACTAGCAAAATGTATGACAAAATTTCCAAAAGCTCTCCTAAAATTCTTCGAAATGCTATACATTTTACTAGTAATTATAGAATTTTATTAGCAGAATGGTAAAGTTTCAAGAAATTATTCTCTCATAAAATTCTTCATGTCGACTCGCGACGATTTTCAGGATAAATTTGAAGAGAAAATCCCCTAAAATTCTTCGAGATGCCGCGTTGTCTTGCGATTTTCCGGATAAATTTTCCATGTGTCCATCGATTTCAGGCCCGACATTCTAAAACTCGCATTCCTATCGAGTCTATTTTCAGATTTAAAATTCAACGTCAAAGTAGCTCCCTCATAAATGTGCAGATAATTTAATTTGTCTACACGCTGAAGATGATTGACGACGTCGACGTAATGCGCTCACACTGGAGGTGCACCTAGAATCTAGAAAATGCGCTTAGCGTTACAGCGTTATAAATGTTGAGGCATAACGCAGGCTGTGAATGCCGCGATCAGGTGGAATTATCGACCGCTCCTTCTTCCTATCTCCCTCTCTTCTTCCCCGCTCTTCAGGCTCCCATAAAATTGATCGCGCACTAGAATCTGATACTCCTACCGCGGTCAGCATCAGCAACGCGCGATGATACGAGTAACGCGCGGGCATGTGAAAGTAGACCGCGCGAGGCTTGGTCGTTGATTTTTGTACACTGAAAACTAGTTTCCGCGTCTATTGTTGCCCGCATACGTCTCGTAACTTGATGGTTTTTTGTTACATATATGATAACATGCCGAGCATGCACATGCCTGCGGTTTTACACCGCGAGAAATTCAAACATGCCCGCTCTCTCAGATGTACGCTACATTCGAGAGTTGTACGCTCGAATTTTCCCACAAAATTTACCGCCGGCCGTCTCGCTCCTTAAATAAAATTAAATAAAATTAGCGAGATCTGAAGCGAAATACAACTTTCGTTATAACGATTTTATTCGTCTTCGCGACGTACTTACTAATTAACAAATGCATCTTTTACCGGATTCTTAGACGTCACATCCACAGAAAACATTTCCAGATTCAATGCTATTACACTTGAATGTATCATAAAATAGGATCGATGTAGCGCCAATCATATTTGTTGTAGAGAAAGGAATATTTTAATCTTAACTAAAAAATTCTAAAGTCTAAAATAAAATGACAGTATGCATCGTCTTGTCTCGAATATCGTGGTGCCTGGATGGAGGGAAAATTTATTCTAAACGCAAGAGTATACAGGGTGTACTATAACCACCGGATATCCTTTTAATAACAGATTCTTTAGAAAATTTCAAGACGAAAATTCTAATACAAAAATATCGAGGCTATAATAGTTTTTAAATAATAAGCAAGTATATTTCACCAATGACAGGCCTGAGATTTCGCGCGCTCAGGCGCGGCGACATGACGAGTGATAAAAGTGTTCATATGAATGTTGCCTTTTTTGGCACAGTAACGACCTTCATGATAATTGATGTTGATCGATCACTTTGCCAGCTGCAACACTTAAAAGTTACAACACGTTGCAAATTTTTTCTTGAATTAAATAAGAAGGGCGACATTCATAGGAACACTTGTCATATCGCCGTGCCTGAGCGCGCGAAATCTCAGGCCTGCCATTGGTGAAATGTACTCGCTTATTACTCGAAAACTATTATAGCCTCGACATTTTTGTATTAGAATTTTTGTCCTGAAATTCCCTAACGAATCTGCGATTAAAAGGATATCCGGTGGTTTTAGTACACCCTGTATAAAGTTACTCTTGTCTCAATAAAGTAAGTCAATTTTTTTTAATTCGATAGAGGAGAATAAGAAGTATTGACTTTATTTTGATATCGTCCCATTTTTATACTAAATGAGGTTGTGAGAAATATAAATGCGTCAAGACTATTTTTGTCTCGGTAACAGAAATCCTTTCGGAGGGTGCAATCGGATTTGATGCTAAATGAAGAGATGAAAGCGCCAGTAAAGTTATTTGCAAAGGGTTTCAGCTCGAAGCTCATTAGATGCTAAGGTGCACGGTGATAATAATGAGAAAAAAAATGTAATAGAGACAACGACAGCTTGCGACATTAAAATTTGCGTTGGGGAAACGTTTAAATTGGCCGAAAAAGGTCGCGATTAAAAGAATACCCGGTGGGATACGTAATGGTGGAATGCACGTTTACGTAGGTATCCCTTCGGATCCATTACTCGCCTGAATGAAAGAGAAATGTTTCTCACAGCGCGTGCCAGTGATTCTGTTGTTCTTCTCCGGAAGCACGGTGTAATAGCTACGTAAAAGTCGCTTGCTCATCTGCACGATTATTATGCATTGTGTATAAGAAATTTATCTTTTTCGCGCGTGGCACAATGCACCTTCGCAAAGGTGCATTCGGCGGATGTGCGAATGGTTAGAGACGGATCGGATTTCATCATTGGGACGCAGCGTAAGAATTCAATGATGCGCGAGGAGTTCTGGAAATCGGAATAATGCCAAAATTTCGGAGTCTCTTAACAAATTAAAATTAAGAAAGGGAGAGAATGCGTCGTCAATTTTTTTAAGTTTTTGAAATTTTTAAGCGAAAACGTCGTCCTATTTTAAAATTAAGGTCCTTCGTTTCTTTTGCTGAATTTTTGTAGACATTTTCTTTAAAAATTTTACACGCGCGTACGTAAGTAATTTCAGCGGATCTCCTTAATTAAAATGAGACACGCGACGTTACGTGGAAGAGAACAATAATTCCCTTTGCACGAAGAGATTTTGTATGTTTGGTATTTTCTTTAAATCCTTTATATATTTATATATTTCTGAAAGATCTCTTTGTGAACTCCACCTGCGAAAACACCAGTCCGAGATGCCACGAGAAGCGGATGTTTCCGGTTCAGTGCTCCGACCGCCATTGTATCTCGGTTACAACGCGATAACAGTTGCTTCTCGTAATAACAATTTCGACTTGGAAAAAATGTGTGTATTATCAGAAAAAGAAACAATTTAACTATGCGCTGAGAAAAAGGTCTCATTAAATATAATTGGATAATCCAATTACATAATAACAAACGGATATATCCAATTAAATTGCATACCCGATGCAAAATACGATCGGTTTTTCAATCAAATTTCATCGGTAACTGCATTTCATCGGAGAAATTTAATCGGAAAACGTAATCGAAACAATTAACCATCGCAAACGCTATTTAATTGGTTTATCCAATGGCAATTTTTCTCAATGCAGAAAATACACTTTGTTTTCATGGCTGTGTTAAAAATAACTGAGAGAAATTCGCAATTGCTAACAATAAGACTCGCGTTAAAGCCTAATCTACAAAGTGCTTTCCGCGCCCAGAAACGTTCTACAAACAAATCGAAGCGCTCGAAAAATTTGTCAACAACGCATGATTATACAACGTGTAACATATCGTACAATTTATCAACTTGCACA